TGGCATAATGATCATCTTCTTTTTCCACTCTCGAATCTTTATTCAAGCGACACAAACCATCCTTTTGCATTCCTCATCCTTACCGCAGAGTATTCTTTGTTCCTCGATCTGAACGTCTTTCCATTCCATTCTCCAACTTACATTCACCGCACCATCCAGAAAACTTTGGAACCAAAATGCCGCCTCCCCTACTAACGTAATTGTACCTTTCCTGCCTTCTTGAATTTTAACTATAAACTCTTATTATGAAACAGCTCGTCCATTAGAAATTCCTCCCTTTCCACCTTGAGAAATCTCTACCGGCTCCTAACTGGCGAAAAGTTACCATCCATATTCTCAGACGAAGACGAAGATAGACCCACATTTAGGTCTATCAACTACCTTACCTCTTTTTTCCTTTCCCTCATTTTTCTTTTTTTTTCTCAAAAAAAAAGGTTTTAAATCATTAGGGTTCTTTATTTTGCACCCAAGCCTCGCCACAAAATCAGCCACCAAATCTTCCTTAACACTCTCTTCCCCATCCCCACTCAAATCTTTCTCCTTTCCCTCTTCTTGGGTTCCCACCCTTTCTGAGCTTTTTACTGTTGAGGCCTCCCCTGGTACCTTGCCACTATTTCCTTCTTCCTTCTCTAACTCTTTCCTTTTTAATTCTTCAAAGAATTCCTCTATCAACTCCCAAATTCTCCCCCCCCCCATTCCTCATCCCCTTCCATCTGCTTCCTCCCCACCATTCCCCCAACTTCAGTGGTTTGGGCAAACGGCTTAATGGCAAGTTGGAGGACAGGCATCAAAAACAGAGCAACATATTAGTACAGAAAACCAAATTCACAAACTGACCTTGATTAGCCTGAGGGGAAACCTTAGAAGAAGCAATAGGAGTTTTGGATAGGAATCCTTGTTGAGTTGTTTGGGCCTCACTAGCTGAACCCTGCAGGAAGGTTGGGCAAAATTTCAAAAATTTCCTCTCCCCTCATCTGGGAATCGCATTCCCTATTCTAGAAAATCTGCATTTTCAAAAATCAATCTTGAACCCTAAATCGAACCAAATTTGAAAACAGAAGCAAGAGAGGGATATACCTGATACGGAAAAACAGTATCTCCCAACGAAGGTTTTCATGCCCAAAGAAAATACTCCAAAAACTGCTCCCACTGAAGATGACACAGTGAATGTTGGAGCAGAATCAACAGTGTTCGTCCAACGAACCGAACCCTTCGCAAAAATTAGCTGGAGGATATGAGCAAAACTTCAAATCAGCCTTTCCCCAAAGGCAGATATTAAGATCTGATCTTGATCACTCCTGCTTGAGGAGGAGATCGAACTAGTAGTTATGGCGACGACAGGAAGGAGGTGACAAAGAGAAAATAGCGCAGTCTCACTGGATGCTATGTTCTCTCTCTAAAATTGAGAATGTGATCTTCTAATAGGCTGCCGCCCCCTCCTCCTTCTATAACCTTAAAGGGATCAGCTCCTAATCCCATTAAGAGTTGCTGATCCAAATCATATTTGAATCTGAATTCCCTTTAAGTGATAAGGATAGACCCTTATCTAATCTGCAAATTAAATCAGCCATCTCCTAATCTTATTAGGAGGTTTCCAGATCTAAATATCATTTAGATCTAGACTCTCTGAGTGGATACGCTTAAGACCCTATCCTATCTGCTAATCTAATCTCAGATCCGCCCCTTAATTTAACTGATCAAATCAGTCCAATTCGAAATGGGCTTTAGGCCCATGAAGTCTTAGTGCTCAGTATTCTTCCAAACTGCTGCCCAGTTGGGCTACTTTGTATGGCGTGGGTCCCAAACATTGATCTACACATCAGCYACATGGGTTCAGCCCAGCCTTTGTTACAAGGCCTGGCCAAATACACTATTATGGACAGTGCACCCCCTGAGCCCATCACATGGACTCTTAATGAACCCAACAGATACATTAAGTGGTCCCTACGCCGAGCCACCTTATAAAAACCCAAGGACTGTGAGCATATGCAAGATTAGCCCATCAGGAATTACCCTCAATGGTCTTACACTTAACCTCTCAACCCATAATGATCATGCACTGCCTGACAAGAGAGAACCTCTCCCTCGGCTGCAAGGAACAGTGTTGCACTCTCTACTCACATGGATCCCGGGAATTAAAACCTTTTTGCAGACATTTTGAAACCATAATATATATCCATATATAATATATTTTGCAAAAACAAATTTCAACGATTGAAATCAACTGCCGACAGTCTTGGTTTCCATCAGAGAGAGTGCATCCCCAATCATTACCTTTGTCCGACAAAGGGATTGATCCTACCACTATGATCACCCACTCAGATAAATTCTCGGACTGTCCCAACATACCCAGGTTTTGACCCCTACTAAGGATCTCACTGATTGGCATATCAAATACAACCCAATCCGACACCTAGTGCAATATCATAATCGAATCTAGGGGTCAGGTGTAACTTTCCAGTTTTGTCCACTAATCACCAAGGTCCAAGGCAATACTGGAAATCTGGTCCGGTTTAGGGTTTCAAGTAAACCTACACTGCATGTACCTCGGGTCTCACCCTAGCAGCTGAGACAGTCCACTGCAACACTTGGCGGCACACCAGTGTTAGCCTTAGCAGGATAAATCTCCCCAGACTTATCCAATGGCTGTGAACATTCTAAACTAACACAAATCCCATTAAGTGTCCAGTTTAAGGGTATTACACAGAAACACACCACAATAACATGAATCAAATATGTACTTTATTCATTTACAATAAATGTCATAATGTACATCAGTCTGATTGAAGCTAAGGGCATACAACTGTCTAACACTGCTTCCTCCCCACCATTCCCCCAACTTCAGTGGTTTGGGCAAACGGCTTAATGGCAACCTGGAGGACAGGCATCAAAAACAGAGCAACATATTAGTACAGAAAACCAAATTCACAAACTGACCTTGATTAGCCTAAGGGGAAACCTTAGAAGCAATAGGAGTTTTGGATAGGAATCCTTATTGAGTTGTTTGGGGCTCACTAGCCATCCCAGAGAAGAGGATCAGCCCAAATACTTTCAGATAATAGGTAATAGGTGCAAAAGCCCATCGAAGCTGTTCCTACTTGCTACATTATCAGATAGAACATTCTTTAATGAATTTCTTAAGATGATTTTCATACCTCTCCAGTAAAAAATGGTTTTGAACCTACGCATGGTCATGAGAAATCCTTCTTGATTGGAATTGTGATGTTGACTAAAAATATCAGAGATCAAGCTGGAGGTGTCTAGTATGTAAAGGTATTTTTTTAAGTAGAGAATACCGCCTTTGTAGTCCCATGGGCCCACTGCCTCATCATCCTTACATAGTTGTATCAGTCGCTATATTTATGGGCTCCCTTCTCACCCATTGTTCTTTTTCTTTATATAAATCTCTTCTCGGCCATTGTCTTCATACTTGTATTAGGACTTGTGAAAAGGAAAAGGCGACCCTAAGAGCTCACCATGTTTAATATCATGGCCTAAAAGATTGAAATAGGAAGCAGTGAATCCAACAAAAATATCTTACAGGAAAGGTCTGATATTTTAAAAGGTGTGAAAGGCGTACACCTAGAGGCATGCCTCAAGGCAAGGTGCCCCCAAAACACCCTGAGGCATATGCTAGAGGCCTTGAAACCTCTGAGGCATACACCCCATAAAGTATTTTTCATGAGGCTTGTAGAGGCATACGCCTCATAACACAGAAAAAAAAAAAAAAAAAAAAAAAAAAAAAAAAAAAAAAAAAAAAAAAAAGAGAAAAGAAAGAAAAGGGAAGGGAAGGGAAGGAAAGAGAAGGGAAAAGAAAGTGGGTCAGGGACTTTTCCCCCCAACCCCTTTTCAATAGAGCTGTAATGTGGGTTGGGCCGGTGGCAGGCCAGCACGGCCCAGAGGCATGGAATGGCACGGCACACAGGCTATAATTGCCATTGGAGGGTACCAACAGCTATAATTGCTTTTTTGTTTTGGTATTTTAACTAAAATTCCCCCAAACAGCTATAAACCGCCACTAGGGGTATTTAAGTATTTTGGATCATGGGAAGCAAAAAATGACTTAAATGCCACCCTAACAGCTATATCATTTGCAATATTTTCCAATAATCTAATCCCATTGTAATTTTTATCTTCAATTTATCATTTTATTAATTTAACTCCATTGTATTATTTTTTTCAATGTATTTTTTTATTTTTTTGTACACATTAAATTTGAAAGAAATAAAATTTGTACAATTTTTTCCAAAGTCTATATTCATGTTAATTTTCTGCTAGTATATATTACTTTTTATTTTTTCTAATTTTTCTTAGTTTAGGAAAATGGGAAAGGAAAAATACAAAAAATAGGCTAGGCCTAGGCCCGGCCCGGCTAGGAACCGGGCCATGGGCCGTGCTAGGCCTAACCTAGGAGGGGGACCATGCTGCCTAGGCACAGCCCACCAAGGCCCAAGGCATGGCATGACATGGAGCGGATGGTGTCTGGTCTGCCTTCAATCTGTGTCGTAATGACACGGNCGTAATGACACGGTACAGCCCACATTACAAGACATGGAACGGACCGTGCTGCCTAGGCACAGCCCACCAAGGCCCAAGGCATGGCATGACATGGAACGGATGGTGTCTGGTCTGCCTTCAATCCGTGTCATAATGGCACAGTACAGCCCACATTACAGGTCTACCTTTCTTTTCTTTACAGGTCTATTTATGTTAAGTTTAAATGGCTGAGTAAGGATATGGTGGTTCATTACAACTGGGTGAAGATGACTGCTAATTCCTTTGCTGATGGGTTAGCAAAGCAAGGGGTGAATAGGGATTCGATTTTATTTTTTCCTTGTACTCTTTGATGGGGAGTTAAGTCTTTTTACCTCCCCTTTGTACCTACGCTTCACATAGTTTCATATCTTTAATAAAGTTTCTTGTTATTGATCAAAAAAATAAATAAATAAAAAGTTGATAGCATAACAATTCTATCAATAAGATGAGTAGTTGCAGCTTACCATATTGCTAGGTTCCAGATTAGAATCATACGAAAGATCAAATGGATTTGAAGATTTCCTATCAGTAGCATGTGATGATAATCCTCCCTATGAAAGCCAAATCAATTCATTATTCAGACAGAAACTATATATATATATATTACATATTACAATTTATAGAAGAATACAAGCAAGTCAGAACAAGCACAAACCACAAGGGGAATCACTGGTTGAGAAAATGATGATCCAGTGATATATCTGTTATGTGGTATACTTGGTATAGGGAGTCTATCTTCTGCACCAACTCTTAGAAACCCATCTTTTCCCAAGTCCTGTAAAGCCCAAATGCATAAGAACCAATAGAAAAAAAAAAAAAAAAAAACATGCATTATGATTCATAATTATCAAGCAGAGATTAGACTACCTCGGAAATTTTAGAGCTCAAATATTGATCACTGGTTAAATGAGGCTTCTGTGCTGGCACTTGTGGTTCACTCTTCTGTGGTAAATTCCCAAAGGAAATTTGAGGATGGCTTCCAATGTTATCTTCAAAGGCATTCCATGACTGCTAAGCAACACCAATTAAATCATTAAGCTAAATACAGATAGAAAAACTTGACCTAAATGCTAGATAGAATTTCTTGAGCGTCTCAATTATATTGTAAGATACATCACCTGTGTACTTATTGCAGCAGTGGAGACTTGATCATCATGATGCCCCTCATTCCATTGGTAAGACGTCGAGGATAAAGATCCTTGAACTGCGTAATTTTCAAATTGTGGCCACTTTATGCCAGTACTTACAGATGAAGCATCATCAAATTTTCCCACAGGTATTCCATCACCAGAAGCGACATCGGCATGAGTCACATTTTTTGTTTCTTGGGCAGAAGAGAGATGCTGAGGCATGTCAAATGTTGCCCATCCTTCACCTTCTTGAAAAGAGAATTCCTGTGGTTTTTGTTCCCATAAAGTTGCAGCTGATTGATGGAAATTGATGTCAGCAAACAGATCAATAGATGGAGCTGAAGAGGTTGGTGGTGGTTGAGGTAAATCAAGAGAGGAAGCTGAAGAAGTTGCAGGTAGCTGAAATAAATCTACAGATAGAGCTGAAGAAGTTGCAAGTGGTTGAGCTGAAGTAGATGCTGGCTGCTGAAAGAAATGTACTGATGAAACTGAAGAAGCTGCAGATGGCACATTGAAAAAGCCTTTATTTATAGAATCAACAAAGAAAAAAGAACATTGTGGAAAAGAGGGAAAAGAAGACATACCATCCTGCAGGGTCCCACCAGATGGCTCAGCCTCTGAGAAAATATCAAATAAATTACCTGAATTAACTGATTTCAGGGATACAGAGTTGCTATCAAAAGATCCAAAGCTTCCTAAAGATGCACTTCTCTGAAGAAAGAAGTAATTGAAATTTGGTTTAAAAAGGTAAAGCAAAAATGAGAAGAAAACAGAACAAATTACATAAATAATAAAGGCATCAAGAGTACCCATTAAGCATGCTTTATATATGCAGAACAAGAAAGAATGCACATGAAAGTGGAAACATCCACTGTATAGGTCCCACTTCGGATCTCTCTAGACAAACATGTTTTAGGCCATCTCCAAAATGTAATTTCAATAAAGTTAAAGGTGGGTTAACCTGTGAATGTGGAATAACATCTGCATCTCTTTTCAAATTTGCATCAGACAATGTACATAATGTTTGGCGCCGTCCATCTTCACTTAAGAAATCCTTCACAGGATGAACAGGACTGCTAAAACCAATGTCCTTCTGAAAATTAGGTGACTGGGTATCAGATCTGAATGCATCGCCTCCACTAGATACAGAGCAGTCTGAAACTCTAGGAGCAGAACCCTCATTTGCAAATCTATCCTCGTACCGACCTGGACTATAAACAAAGCTAGATATTTTCCCTTCATAGTGGACTCGATCTGAACCAGGTTTTCTAGAAAGCACACCAACTTGTTTGCCATAATGTCGATCTTCATACTGATATTCATAAGGTGGACTCTGAGAATAGGAGTGATACGAACTGGCTCGTCTGGTTTGATCTTCATAGTTCCTAAGGCTCTGTCAAACTCAAAATAAAGAGGAGAGTTAAAGTCATATTTCTGCCTCTAAGTTGAAGCCAATTTGAAATTGAAAATATATCAACAGCCATGATCACCAAATGAAACAAGAAATGGATTGCCTGCATGTCTCTTGGAGGCTTGTCAGAGGTCTTCCCACCAGCGTATTTCTTTTCGATGTAAACATTCTTTATGAACTCCCGGACTTTATCAACATTGCTACAGAAGAACACTTTGTAAGAAATAAACCAAGATCTACAATCTACGGAATCACTGATGCTTTGAGCATCAAGAAGCATATCCCTCACCTGCTATCGGGCAATCTCTGACGCTGTAGGTCCCATTCCCTCAAGAATATTTCTCTTGCACGCTGTAAAARAAAAAGAAAAAAAAAAGGAAAACCAAATAACTATGGAGAAATAAGCATGTAATGGGCAAGGAAAAATTATAACTTACTATTTTTTGTATTGAGGGGGAAGAGAGGGCCAATTATTGGCTAACATTCTTTTCCAAATCTTTCTTCTTTCCTCTCTTCTTCTTCTCTTTCATGTTTTAGACTTCAAGTATAAACACAAGAATAACCAACCCATCTGGCTAAGGGGAGGAAGCAAGTCAAGCTGCTAACTATACCTGATTACCACCCCTTTGAAGAGCCTCAACTTCTTGAGAAGTGAATTTAGCCATGGATACAGACTTTACTCGGTGAGTAAATTCACGACTGCATAGTTTAATGAAGAAGGATGCATCAAATACACTGAAATAATAACTAAACATGTGAAAAAAATGTAATATAATCAAGAAAGAACCTGAATGATACAAATGCAACAAGGATTTTAAATTTTAAACAGTTAACAATCTTACACCACTACTTGTAAAGCATTAAATGTAATCTTGCTCTATAAAATACAAAGCTCATTGAAACTTCAGACGTATTTGAAAATCCAACTCCATTGCTGTGCTAAAACTAAGTAGGCAACCACTGTTTCAGCATAGGATCTATGGAAGTAACAAAACATAACTAAAAGAATGACTTGGTCTTTCCTGCTGCAGGTGCCACTTTCAGAGATTCCAGCTCCATCATTAATCTCCCAGGTGAGTTGAAATATCTCTCTGTCATGTCATTGACCCACTTTTCTCCCCACTGCATTCTCACGGCCTTTGTTCATTAAAGAATTCTGCTCATTCGCCATTAAAAGTTTCTTCCTCTAGACCCTTGAAGGAAACACCAAGGAATTCCCAAAAAGATGAAACAAACAACCTAGATTGTTTCAGGCACTAAGTCTAAAAATGGAGGCCCATGCTGACTTTATTAAATTGCTCAGGCTCCTCAACAAAGCTTACTAGCCTGCTGGAGGAGGATCACATGAAAACAGGGTTTAGGGGCCTGGCTCCATGGCCAAAGGAGAGACTTCAATGCATTCTTTTTTTTGGATAGGTAAATGAATTTTATTAAAATTGAAAGATCAGCAATACAAACATCCCAGGGAAAAGTGTGAGATTCACCTCATCCAACAGCATAAACAGAAACAGAAAACCAAATTACCAAGTAACAGTCTCCGAATTTTGTAGCCAGACCACTACTATCTTGGAGTCTCCTTCCACAATTAATCTGTTCAAACTTAAATCTCTTGCTCTCTGTAATCCTTGGACAACTGCTATCAAATCAGCCCTAACTGAGTCTCCCATACCTACTGGTCCAGAAAAAAGAGCTACAACCTGTCCATCTTTGTTCCTAAAAATCCCTCCAACCCTGGAAGGGCCTGGATTCTTAAAAGCCCCACCAATCCCAAAAGGGATTGTTGGGATATAATTAAACAGGACATCCATAAGGTCTTTGTTGAATTTTTTTGAGAGAGGTGTGAGTAGCCTGGGGCTGAACTTCACTTTTTTAGCTTTGGTTCCAAATTAATCTGTGCAATTCACCTAAAGGAATTCAGACCGAATTAAAGTTGTGCCACCTCAAATAATTTCCCATAACCGAGGTGCCTTTGTGATGAATAGACAAATAATTGATTAGATTCTAATTGCAAATGGAAGTTTGGAGGACCGGAGAAGAACTGGGAGAAAAGGCTTGGTGCGCAAGCTGGATTTGGAGAAAGCATATGCTTTGGTGATTGGTCTTTCTTAATGCAGGTGTTGGTGACTTTTGGTATTGGGGAGAGATGGTGCAAGTGGATACAAGGCTGTATTGTGACATGTCATTACTCTATTGGTTAAGAGGGCAATGGTTGACCACTTTCCTTTTCACTCTAATTGCAGAAGTTTTGGGTAGATTGATATAAAGAGCAAATTCTAGGAATTTGGTGAGGGGTTGGAGGGTAGGCAGGGATAGGGTCGATCTCTCATCTACAGTTGGCTGGTGATACAATTTTATTCTCTAAGAAAGATGTTGTTACGTGGGTGAGGACTCAGGACTTTGAAATTGATGATTCAGTTATTTGAGAAAATGTCAAATTTGAAGGTTAATTTTGTCAAAAGTTGTGTGGTGGGAAAGGTTTTAAAAACCAACCCGGAAACAAAACCGTTCTACCTACCGATTTCCAGGTCAGCGGTTTGACCGTCCGGGTCGAACAGTTCGGACAGTTTGCATATTAGGGAAAATATTTTATATGAGATTTGAGAAAGGAGAACTGGAGAAGATGTCGGTTGAGAAAGAAAAAAAGAAAGAAGAAAAGAAAGAAAGAAAGGAAGGAGAAAGGAAAAAAAAGAAAAGAAGAGAAAGGAAAGGAAGGAGGGAAGAAGGAGTGAAGGAGGGAAGAAGAAGGAAGAGGAGGAGGATGGTTCAACGCTCACCGGAAACAATAATGGCGACGGCAACGGCGACGCGGCGGCAACAGACAGATCTGAGTTCTTGGATCTGAGATCTGAGATCTGAGCTCTTGGATCTAAGATCTGAGATCTGAGTTCTCGGATCTCAGATCTGAGATTCTCTGCAACATCTCTGATCTGAGTTCTCTCTCTCTTCTTCTTCCTCAGATCTGAAACACAAACTCAGATCTGAGTTCGTGTTTCTCTCCTGCAACTTTATACTACGAACCACTGTCCGGGTCAAACAAGTCAACAGTTCGACCACCCGAGTCAGCGGTTTTCTGATGAAGTCAACGGTTTTTGACCCAGGAATGACTTAGGGGTGAAACGGAACCGGTTGCTTGGACGGTTTCCGGGCCGAACGGTCCGACCGTCCGGGTCAACGATGGTTCAAAAACATTGGTGGTGGGGATAAATATGGATAGGAGGGAGATGGTAGAAAAGAGCTGAATTAGGGGTGATCATTTCAGCCCGGCCCGGCCTGGCCCGGACAAGCCCGACCCAGAAATTCCAGGCTTGGGCCTGGGTTTTGTGTTCAGGCCCGGACATCAGGCCCGTAAATTTTAGGGCAGGGCTTGGGCTTAATACTTCAAGCCCGGCCCGGCCCATATATATCTAAACTTACACATTTTGTATATAATGTATACATATGTATATATGTTATTTTACATTATATTATATATTTTATATATAAATATTATAACATGACATGTATAATTTATATTATATGTAATATTTTATATTATATAATGTATAAAATAAGTTTATATGCATGTTATGTCATTTAATATATAGATATTTAATGTTTTATATATGAGTGACATTGGCTCGGAATCAGGCCCGGCCCGGCTAGGGCTTATGTTTCAGGCCCGGAACCCCGGCCCGGCCCATGATCACCCCTAGCTGAAATCCTAGGATGTGTGGTGTCTCGTTTGCCCTTAAATGAGTTGGGGCTGCCTCTTGGTGATAACCCAAGAAATATCAATTTTCAGAACCCAGTGGTTGACAGATTCACTAAAAGACTAGCCTCTTAGAAGAAAATTTACTAGTCTTTGGGTCACAAAATCACATTGAAAAAATCAACTTTGACCAATTTATCTGTGCATTTTGTCATCTTTCAGGACACCAAAGGCAATAAGCAAAATACTAGAAAAATTGATGAGGGATTTCATGTGGGAACCAGGGGAGGGGAGATCATAGGGTTAGCTGCGGGGTGGTTTCTAAATATAAATTTGAGGGTGGATTAGGTACTGGAGACATTCAAAAGAGAAATGTGGCTTTATTAGGAAAATGGTATTGGAGATTAACTAAGGATAGGGATAAGTTGTGGGTTAAGGGAATCTTGTGTATTCATGGGCAAGTGGCTGATAGGCGGGATGCAAGAGCTTTGGTAAGGGCTACACGAACTTCTCCTTGGAGATCCATTCATGCCATCCATCCTTCCTTCCTACCTTTTATCAAGTACGATCTTTGTTCTGGAAATTCTATAAATTTTTGGGAACATCTTTGGGTGGGAGATGTGCCATTGAAAGAACAATTTTCGTCCTTGTTTTCCCTATCCTTGTTTAAAAAGGAGCTAGTTTCAACCTTGTTGGTCCCATCAAACCCCAATTATGGGTATGATTAGGACTTGGGCTTTAGAAGGGGTCTCAAGGATTCAGAAGTTGAGGATGTGTCGACCTTGATTCAGATTTTGATTAGGCTGATTGTGGATCCTTTGGGGAGGGACAAGAGGATTTGGACCTTAAATTCTACTAGTGTGTTTTCTTGTGCTTCCTTTTTCAAAGCCCCAGTGCTTCCCAACCACCACCCTCTCTCCCTAGACCAAATCTCCAAAGCCACTTTCCCATTAGAGCCCGATTAAAGATTCTCACTTTTCTTAGCCCCAATCCACCCCTTCTCTTTCGGTTTACAGACTTTAACCCAATTCACCAAGTGAAATTTCTTCCCCCTCCCTCACCTTCCCATAGGAAGTCCCTCTATATTTTCTCAATTCTCTCTGCCACCTTAGTTGGTATTTTCAACAAATACAAGTAATAGGTTAGTAAGCTTAACAAGACACTTTTAATTAATTCCCCAGTCCCCCCCCAATAAATACTTAGCTGTCCACCCATCCAACCTCCTTTCAACCATCTCTATGATTGGTTTCCATATTATGTCAGCATTTGAAGCACCACCTATTGGCATTTCCAAATAGGTGGAAGGGAGCTCACCAATTCTGCATTCAAGAGCATCAGCACATTCCACCATAACATCCCTCCCCACCTCTCCAATTTCGATTATTATGCATTTTGAAAGATAAATCTTCATCCCTGTTAGCATTTCAAAATTTGTCAATACTACTCTTAAATTCAGCATCTGTTCCACCATAGAGTCTAGATAAATCAAGGTGTCATCTGCATACTGCAGATGGATAATGCAAGGCCCATCCCTTCCAACCTTAAATCCCCCAATCAAGCACATTTGTCCACTTCTCTCAAGCAAAAGATTCAAAATCTCCATAACCATAACAAATAGAAGAGGAGATATTGGATCTCCTATGCAAAGACTTTTGCACTTGTAGCCAAGATGAACTCCATTAGACTCCTTTCAGTGGCAACTAATTTTGATTGGATCTTCACTAGCTGGATATCAAGAATATTTTCTTGAATGGTGATTTAGAAGAAGAGGTGTATATGGTTCAGCCTACTGGTTTTTGTGCCAAAGGTAGTGAGCCGAAGGTATGCAGGTTGAAGCAGTGACTACAGGCCTGGGTAGTTTCCATTTACTTGTACAACAAATGGGGTTTAAACAATGCCAGGCAAACCATACATTATGTGTAAAGAAAGGTAAAGGAAAAATTGCATCCCTAATCGTCTATGTTGATGACATAGTAGTTACTGGTGATTGGATAATAGAAATACAAAAATT